CCCCCTGCCCCCCATGCTCCCAAATTTTTGTCTGTTTCCAATTTCCAGGTAGGTCTATATATGTTTTTCTTTGAGTTCACCTTACTACTTAGTTTCTCTAGGATCATGAACTATAGGCTCAGTGTCCTTTGTTTATGGCTATTATCCACTTATGAATGAGTACATACCATATTTGTTTTTTGGGGGGTCTGGGTTACCTCACTCAGGATAGTGTTTTCTAATCCCATCCATTTGCATGCAAAATTCAAGATGTCATTTTTTTTTAAACCGCTGAGTGGTACTCTAATGTGTAGATGTGCCACACTTTCTTTATCCATTCTTCAATTGAGGGGGAACTAGGTTGTTTCCAGGTTCTGGCTATGATTATAGTTGAACAAATGCTTTTGTAGTATGATTGAGCATCTTTTGGGTATATTCCCAAGAGTGGTATTGCTGAATCCTGAGGTAGGTTGATTCCCAGTTTTCTGAGAAACCGCCATACTGATTTCCAAAGTGCTCGCCTCATCACTAGAAAGTTTGCATTCTCACCAGCAATGGAGGAGTGTTCCCCTTACTCCACATCCTCTCCAGCATAGGTTATCATTAGTGTTTTTGGTCTTAGCCATTCTGACAGGAGTAAGATGGTATCTCAAAATTGTTTTGATTTGCATTTCCCTGATAACTAAGGAAGTTGAACACGTCCTTAAGTATCTTTTGGCCATTTGAAATTCTTCTGTTGAGAAATCTCTGTTTAGTTCAGTACACCACTTTTTAATTGGGTCATTTTGAATTTTAATGTCTAATTTCTTGAGTTCTTTATATATTTTGGAGATCAGTCCTTTGTCTGATGTGGGGTTAGTAAAGATTTTTTTCCCATTCAGTAGGCTGCCTTTTTGACTTGTTGACTGTGTGCTTTGCTTTCCAGAAGCTTCTCGGTTTCAGGAGGTCCCATTTATTTATTGTTGCTCTTATTGTCTGTGCTACTAGGGTTATACTTAGGAAGTGGTTTCCTGTGCCCATGCTTTGAAGGCAACTTCCCACTTTCTCCTCTATCAGGTTCGGTATGGGCAGATTTGTATTGAGGTCTTTAATCCATTTGGATTTGAGTTTTGTGCATGGTGATAAATATGGATCTATTTGCATTTTTCTACAGGTTGATATCCAGTTATGCCAGCACCATTTGTTCAAGACATTTTCTTTTTTCCAATGTATAATTTTAATTTCTTTGTCAAAAATCTGGTGTTCAAAAGTGTGTGGATTAATATCTGGGTCTTCAATTCAGTTCCATTGGTCAACATCTCTGTTTTTATTGTTTTTATGCCAATACCATGCTGTTTTCATTACTGTAGCTCTGTAATAGAGTTTGATGTCAGGGATGGTAATGCCTCTGGCAGTTCCTTTATTGTACAGGATTGTTTTGGTTATCCTGGGCTTTTTGTTTTTCTATATGAAGTTGACTATTGTTCTTTCAAGGTCTGTGAAGAATTGTGTTGGGATTTTGATGGGGATTGCATTGAATCTACAGATTTGGTAGGATTGCCATTTTTACTATGTTGATCCTTCTTATCCAAGAGAATGGGAGATCTTTCCATTTTCGGTTTCTTCTTCAATTTCTTTCTTCAAAGACTTAAAGTTTTTGTCAAATAGGGCTTTCACTTCCTTGGTTAGTGTTACTTCAAGATATTTTATGTGATTTGTGGCTATTGTGAAGGGTGAAATTTTCTGGTTGCTCTCTCAGCCCATTTATTATCTGTGTAAAGAAAGGCTACTGATTTTTTTTTGAGTTACTCTTTTATCCTGCTACATTACTGAAGGTGTTTATATGGTGTAGAAGTTCGGTAGAATTTTTGGGGTTACATATATAAACTATCATATCACCATCAAATAGTGAGAGTTTGACTTCTTCTTTACCGATTTGTGTCCCTTGGTCTCCTTTTGGTGTCTTATTGCTCTAGCAAGAACCTCAAGCACTATATTGAACAGATATGGAGACAGCGGGCAACCTTGTCTTGTTCTTGATTTCAGTGGGAGTTTCTCTCCATTTAGTTTGATGTTAGCTGTTGGCTTGCTGTAGATTTCCTTTATTATGTTTAGGTATGTTCCTTTTATTCCTACTCTCTTGAAGACCTTTATCATGAAGAGATGTTATATTTTGTCAAAGGCTTTTTCAGCATCTAATGAGATGATCATGTGGGGTTTTGTTTTGCTTTTTCAGTTTCTTTATATGGTGGATTTCATTGACAGATTTTCGTATGCTGAACCTTCCCTGCATCCCTGGGATGAAATCGATTTGGTCATAATGGATGATTTTTCTGATGTATTCTTGGATTCGGTTTGCTAGTCTTTTATTGAATAGTTTTGCATCAATATTCATGAGTGACATTGGTCTGTAATTCTCCTTTTTAATCATATCTTTGTGTAGTTTGAATATCAGGGTAATTGTAGCCTCATAATAAGAGTTCGGTAATGTTAATCCTGTTTCTATTGTGTGGAACAACTTTGAGAAGTATTGGTATTAGTTCTTCTTTGAAAATCTTGTAGAATTCTGCACTGAAATAATCTTTTTGGTTGGACCTTTTTTTGGGGGGGAGACTTTTGATGAATCTTTCTATTTCTTTACTAATTGTAGGTCTACTTAATTTCTTGATTTAATTTTGTTAAGTGATATTTATCCAGAAAATTGTCCATTTCCTTTACCTTTTCCAATTTTGTAGAGTCCAGGTTTTCATAGTATGACCTGATTTTCTGGATTTGCTCTGTCTCTGTTGTTATGTCTCCCATTTCATCTCTGATTTTGTTAATTTGGATATTCTCTCTCTTTTGTTTAGTTTGGATAAAGGTTAGTCTCTTTTATTGATTTTTCTCAAAGAACCAACTCTTCTCATTAACTAGGTATTGGTTAAATCTGGTTATGTCATGGAATATCTTGTTTTGTCCAGCTACGGTGATTGAAAGTTTTGCTAGGTATAGTAGTCTGGGCTGGCATCTGTGGTCTCTTAATGTTTACATAACTTTTGACCAGGACCTTCTGGCTTTCATTGTTTACATTGACAAGTCAGGTGTAATTCTGATAGGTCTGCCTTTATCTATTACTTGGCCTTTTTTCTTTGCAGCTCTTAATATTCTTTCTTCTGTATGTTTAGTGCTTTGATTATTATTTGACAAAGGGACTTTTTTTTCTTGGTCCAGTCTATTTGGTGTTCTGTAAGCTTCTTGTATCTTGATATGCATATCTTTTTTTAGGTTGGGAAAGTTTTCTTCTGTCATTTTTGTGGAATATATTTTCTGTGCTTTTGAGTTGAACTTCTCCTTCTATCTCTATTATTCTTAGGTTTGGTCTTTTCATGGTGTCCCATATATCCTGGATGTTTTGGGTTAAGCTTGTGTTAGATTTAATGTTTTCTTTGACTGGTGAGTCTATTTCCTCTATCTTATCTTCAGCACTTGAGATTTTTGTCTTCCATCTCTTGTATTCTGCTGTTTATGTTGCACTTATGCTTCCTGATCATTTTACTATATTTTCTGTCCTCAGAGTTCCCTTGGTTTGTGTTTTTCTTTATTATCTCTATTTCGTGTTTCTAGCCTTTAATTATTTCTTTCAACTGTTTGGTTGCTTTTTCTTGGTTTTCTTTAAGGGATTTGTTTATTTCTTCTGATTTCTTTTTGTTTGTTTGTCTTTTCCTCCAGTTTTTTTGAGAAAATTTTTTTTAATTTTTTCTTTAAGGGCCTCAAACATGCTCCTAAAGTTATCTTTTAGGTCATTTACTTCTGCTACATCTGTACTGTGGTATCCATCCTGCTTTTTTGTAGCCACTAGTTTATATTGGTTTCATGTTCATCTTTGTGGTGTTGAGTGTGTTTTTACCTTGTCTACTCATCTTTTTCTCTGATTGATGTAGTTGGGGGTCTAGTCTCTGGTGATTGCTCTTTCAGGTTCCAGTGGATCCAAGGCTCAGATGGTTGTTCCTGGTGGTGGAGTCAGGGCCATGGTTTCAGTCACTTGACATTCCTGGAAGTTGCTTGACTCTCCCAGTAATCACTCTACAATCCTGGAGGTTGTTCGGGCCTGTGCTCAAGAAGGTCACTTGATTGGGCCAGCTCCTGCTGAGGTTGCTGGCTTGGGCCTCCTCTGGTAGAGGTTGCTGGCTTGGGCCTCCTCTTGTGGAGGTCACTGGCTCAGTCCTGCTCTGGTTGAGGTCGTTGGCTCAGGTCTACTCCTGTGGATGCTCCTGCAGAGGTTGCTGGCTCTGGCCAAGCCCCACAAAGGTCACTGGCTCAGGCCTGCTCCCACAGAAGTAGCTGGCCTTGGCTTGGTCCTGTCAAGGTCACTTGCTTGGCTGCTTTGTGGCGGTCACTGGCTCAGGCCTGGTCCTAGGGAGGTTTCTGGCTCAGGCCTGGTCCCTTGGAGATTGCTCCCTTGTACCTACTCTGGCTAAGGGCACTGGCTCAGGCCTGCTCTAGCAGAGGTTGTTGGCTCTGGCCTGGCCCTATGGAGGTTACTGGCTTGGGCCTGCTTCTGCGGGTGTTTCTGTTTCAGGCCTGGTCCTGCAGAGGTCCTGTACTTTTATTTATTTTTTCTTTTTTCTATTTATTTATTTATTTATTTATTTATTTATTTATTTATTTATTTATTTATTTATTTATTTATTTGAAGTTTGTCCTGGAACTTTTTCTGTAGACCAGGCTGGCCTCAAACTACAGAGATTTGCCTGCCTTTCCCTCCTGAGTGCTGGGGTTAAAGGCGTGCGCCACCACCACCTGGCTAACTTTTATACTTTATGGGATAATGATGCCATCTTTTTCCTCTTGTTTTGAGAATATATCTCTCTTACTTGGTCAGAAATTGAAATAATTAAATTGAATCACAGTAATACATAAAAATATTCCCAAGCATTCTAGATACTTTGGTATCTTAATACATTATTCATTTGTTCTCTAGATTTCCCTCACATATCTTGTAAAATTTGAATTTTGAAGCATTTCAGATGGAGTTTTTTATGTATATTTTATTATTTTTATAGGTATGGGAAAATTGAGGCCACTCGCATATTACTAGAGAAAGGAAAGTGCAACCCAAACCTTTTAAATGGGCAGCTCAGCTCACCTCTTCACTTCGCTGCTGGAGGGGGACATGCAGAAATAGTGCAGATCCTCCTAACCCACCCAGACATTGACAGAGTAAGTTATTTCCTGTTTTTATATTTTAATGCTCAGCAACTAACAAGTAGTAATACAAAAGCATTTTATTGTATACTAATCAGGTCAACTAAAAACAACAAATTTTACTTTATAGAGTATAATGTATGTGTTAACTGTGATTAACATAAGTTTTGAATTATTATGATAAAGTATACTTCACATGAAATGTATTATTTTAACAACATAAATGCAAAGTTTATAACATTCAGTACATTTGTGTTGTTATATATAGTCATTACATATATCTCTACAAAATATATAGTTTATTCTATATCTTATTTCCCCCTGAATGTCTTAAAGAAAACCATTTACCCATTTTCTTGAATTTGTACTGATAATCATTTGATAAAAAGGAAAGTAAAATTGTGGAAACCTTTCTTAAATCTATAACTGAACTTTTACAAAACATAATCCTACTAATGTTTTAAATTTTGTAGCTTTTCTATTTTTTTTAGTATATACCAAGTATGGTTAATATTTACTTAATATTTAACCAGAGTATTTGTATAATGTTTTAATTGAATAATATTCCTTGAGAACAACATGTATTTGTAATATCTTTTCATCCATTGCTTCCTCCATTCTAGCACATAACAGACCAACAAGGAAGATCCCCATTAAATATTTGTGAAGAAAACAAACAAAATAACTGGGAAGAAGCTGCAAAATTATTGAAAGAAGCCATAAACAAACCTGTAAGAATTGTCTGAATAGCCAAAGGCAAATGTTGTATTTAAATTGATCATTTGCTGTTGTTTGTTTCACTCTTTACTCTCTTGGGGGCCCACTATCCAGGTCCCAAATAAACACACACATGGTCTTCTTTCTTATCAATGCCCGGCCTTACCTTAGCTTGTTTTTAAATAGCTTTTTTAAAAAGCTATGCTGTCTAACTTTTGCCTGTGGGCTTTTACCTTTCTCTATTTCTGTATAATGTTTCTTTTACTCTTATTCCATGACTTGCTGGGTAGCTGGGTTACTGGCCCATGGTGTTTTCCTCTCCTTATTCTGTTGTGCTCCTTCTTTTCCTCCAGATTTCTCTACCTATTTATACTCTCTGCCTGCCAACCCCTCCTATCCTTTCCCATGCCTTGCTATTGGCCAGTCAGGTGTTTTAGACAGGCAAAGAATCACAGCTCCACAGAGTTTAACAAATGCAACATAAAAGAATGCAACACATCTTTGCATCAAATTATGTGTGATTGTATTTAACATGTTTATTGAAAGTAGTTCTGCTCATTGGTGTGTTTTACCCTAGCAACATTTGTGTAACAGCAGCATTATATACCATTCATTAATAGTCTTTAGCAAGTTAAGTGTATAAAATCTCATTTTCTTCTCCACAAAGGTGAAATAGATGATTTCCTAGTTTTGTGTATATGTGTGTGCATGCATGTATACATGTGTGTAGTTGTTTGTGCTCTAGAGACCAGAGGATAATGTTAGGAGTCTTTCTTTACCACTTCTCCCCCCCCCCCTTTTTTTTTGATACAGGGTCTCTAACTAAAACTAAAGCCAACCATTTTGTCTAACTTCCAGGATCCTCCTCTCTTCCCTCCTCTATCCCACCAACTCTGGGATTATAGACACAAACAGCCATTCCCAGTTTTTATGTGAGTGCTGGGGATTTAAATGTAGATCTTCTTGCTTTCACAGCAAGTGCTGTTATTCACTGAGCCATATTCTTAGCCCTTCCCTGCTTTTTTTTTTTTTTATTAAGCTAGCTCAATAGAGACCTCCTTATGTTTTCCTTCTCTATCATTCAGTTTCTAATGATACAGTCAGATAACATTTTCTGGCCTAACTTCTATATTGTGAATGTGATCAAATGAATCGGATACTTTTAATCCAAAATGTATTGGCCTGTAAGTTACTTGGGAGATAAGCTGCCTCCTTTAACAGTACAAATCTATTGATAATGCTACTGCTATTTGGGGGTTTTGTGAACTTGAGGAAGGAAATTAATTCAAAATCCAATATTCCATGACTTTCAAAGTTTTCCATCATGAACTTCTCTTATTCATAAATTATTGTTAATACACATTTCCTCAGTCCAATTTGTAACCTACTTCTCATGAGGTTCTTAGATTTCATTCCAAGTTTATATTTCCTGTGGCATTACATTGTATATTCAATACTCTATAAACTGTATTTTACAAAAGACAGTAATAAAGATTTTCCTTGATTTGGTCATGGAACATTCAGAAGAAAATTTAGACTGTAATAGAAGTAATAGTTTTCTAAATATTGTCAGCCTCTTCTTGTTTGAAGTAAGTTTTTGATAGTTCCCACATTAGACATCTATATTATGAAGGATATGAAGTTGGGCATAAAGTATCTTATTGCATTGTGATACATAATTATTATTAATGTGTATGTGAGTGTGCCTGCATGTGTTTGTGAGTGTCGACAGGGACCAGAAGACCAAGGTAGGTGCAGGATCCAAACTCCAGTCTTCTGCCGGAATAGCAAGTGCTCTTGACTGCTGAGCCATCTCTTCAGCCTTATGATTTGTAATTTTCAAGTAGCTTAGATGACTTTTCTTTTTTTCCAGTATGAAAAAGTTCGAATTTACAGAATGGATGGATCCTACCGTTCTGTTGAACTAAAGCATGGCAATAATACCACAGCGCAGCAGATAATGGAAGGAATGCGACTCTCTCAAGAAACTCAGCAGTGTTTCACTATTTGGATCTGTTCAGAAAACCTTAGTAAGGAAACTTGGGATGGAGAAGTATTTTACTGTTTAAACATCATTGTTCCTTTTTGGAAGTGGGCTAAGTTGTAGCACAATTAATAAAAACCAAGAGACAGAAATTGGGTTCATCCTGAAGGTCAGAAAAACAAAACATCCAGCTACTGGCTCTTACCTCTTCCTCAGTCTGAAATGGCGATCCTGCCTCAAGGAATCTCAGAATGAGACTGTCTGGGAGCTGTCTCCTCCTGTCTTATATTCCCCTCTAGGGCTGGGGTTAAAGGCTTGCACCACTATTGCCCAAATTTCTGTGGCAAACTAGTGTGGCTACTGGGATTAAAGGTGTGTGTCACCACTGCCTGGTCTGTAAGACTGACCAGGGTGGCTGTTTTACTCTCATCTTCAGGAAAGCTTTATTTATTAAAATAGAAATGAAATATCTCTACAACTAGTAAACTTGAGTATAGCATTATTATTATTAAACTGCTGAAATGGGCAGGATTCCATCCCCTGTGTTTAGTCAAGCATTTAAAAGTTTACTACTGTGATAACCCAGTTAGTTAGAATGCTATGAACTGTAGAATTCATACAATTTGCCTTTATTTTCAGTGTTTCTCTCAAAGTGATTGAAATATTTATGTTTTCTGTCAAACCTTTTTATTTAAAATCACCTTAATGTCAATGTATATTTATCTTTCCAAATTTACTATAACTACTTAAAGAATTTAATTAAATGGATGGTGGTTATCTATGTTTAGCACCAAATCATACTGATTATTCTTAATTCAGTAAGCTATAATGGAATTAAGAATTTAATATATATTAATATATTTCATTTATGTTAACATATTTCATTTATGAAAAATTATCTGCAATTTTTTCCATTCTTATTTGTCAAGCCAGGACTTCCAAATACTAAGAGTCAAATGCTATACTACTGATTCACATCCCAAACACAAGAAATATTCTTTATTTTTATTTCGTTTTTGGAGATAGGATTTCATGTAACTCAGGCTGGTCACACTTGCTATTTAACTGAGGATAACTTTGAACTTGTGGTCTTCTCCTACCTCCCAAGTGCTGGGATTATAGTCTTGTGCCGTTATATCTCTCTCCCATTCTTTTTGGAGGGATGCTCAGCCTAGATATAGCTGGGAGGGCCTTGGTCCTGCTTCTTCACTCCACTTGGGAAGCCTCACCTTCTCTGAGGAGTGGATGGGGGGGTGGGGCGGGGTGAAGGTGGGGGAGTGGGAGAAGAGGAGGGAGAAGGCACTGGGAGAGGTATGTAAAATGAGAAAAGATTGTCTTTTAAAAAATAAATTTAATTAGAAATTATGTTCTTAAAAGCAGGCAATAATCCACAATTGGCTAGTAATAACTATTAAACACTGATTTCAATTTAGGTCTATAAACAGTCTAGTACTTAGGCACATATAGTTTAATGGAAGGTTTCTATGCATTGATATAAGGGATTTGTTTTTACAGTGTCATTTATAAAAGAAAAGCTCTTTTTCAGGCCTTCAGTTCAAGCCTTATCATAAACCCTTACAACAAGTTCGTGACTGGCCAGAAATACTTACTGAGTTGACTAATTTGGATCCACAAAGAGAAACACCACAGCTTTTTCTAAGAAGAGATGTGGGACTTCCTTTAGAAGTTGAGAAAAAGGTTTGCTTAGAAATCTTTAGTTATTTGAATACACAGATTCTATAGATCCCATTGCAGATAGTAGACGTAAAAACTGTACTGTTCCTGGACTAGGAGTGTTTCCTTCTTTTACCTTTTTTTAATCTTTGTATCACATCATAAGTGGGAGTTTCAGTTGGTCTGTATACAAACTTGGTGTTTTTCATTATTTTTGTTTTTGTTTTGTTTTTTCTTTTATTTCCATTACCTTAACAAATACATTTTTTCCTTGTAAAATAAAGAACTTAGCAACTAAAGAGATAGTTTATACAGAAATTAACTTTTTAAGACTGGGAATCAATTTTGTGAATTTCAAAGATGATGTAGGAAATAACAGGATTGGGAAAAAAAAAAAAAAACCCTACAAAGCCCTGGGTAAAGAATAGAATTTTTGCAAAATGGATTTAAGAATGTTATCCTAAGCAGTAAGAAAGCAACCATTCTTGACATAAGAACAGAATTTAAACTTGATCAGTCTTTTCCAAGCAAGTTTGTTTGAATTGAAGTACTGTAGATTTAGAGAAAATGAGATGTCAAGACAATAAATTGGCAAAGAAGAAACTTAAGAGAGCAAACTAGGTATATTAGCCTACTAGTATCTATAAAAACTTAAAAATAACTGCTAGGTCACATAATATTGTTAAAGAAAAATAAATTCAATTTATTATTATTATTAATAAATCCATAACTATTTGTATAAAAAGAATATTAACAGACAAGGTTGAGCAAGTGTCAGTTATGTCCGGAGTTTCTAAACATTTTTAGTTATATTATCTTGATATTATAAAGCCAAAGTATTGATACTATAAAGCAAAAGTAAATTTGTTCCTCTCAGATGAATATACTCTGAATTAGATAAAAATGTTTATGAAGTACAACAAACATTGATAGTGAACATGTGTTAGAATTATATTAATTGAATGAATTGGTGGTGGGGATGGTTATCTCAGTGATGCAGAAAAGACATTTGTAAAACGCAGTGCCATTTCAGGAGACTGGAACTTTGATCCTAAGATCAGGAACAAGGTAGAATGAGCGCTTTCACCACTGCAATGCAGCACTAGTGCGGAAATTCTACACATCATAGTTAGAAAAGAAAATGAAATAGATTTCCAGACTAGAAAGGAAAAAGAAAAACTGCTTATTTGCAAGTGATATGATCTTATGTATAGGAAATCCTTAATAATCCACTGGATAATTACCCAAACTAGTTAGTAAATTATTTTGGAAAAGTTACAGGGTACAAACTCAACACACAAAAATTACTTATATTTCTGTATACCAACAAACATAAAAACATTCAGAGCTGCAGGGAAAGTAGCTCTGAGTTCAGTCCCCAGGACCCATACAACAAGCTAGGCATGGAGGAACTTACTTATGATCCCAACTCTGGGGAGGAGAAACATGGATCCCTAGGACTTGCTGGCCAGCCAAGCTAGCCTAATAAGGAAGCCAAGGTCTTAGTGAAATACCCTGTCACAAAAATCAAGGTTGACACTTCCCATGGAATGACACCTGAGGTTGAACTCTGGCCTCCATTTACACGAACACACACACACACACACAGATGATGATGATGATGATGATGATGATGATGATGATGATGATGATGATGATGATGAATTTAATAGATTCTTTAACTGAATGACTCAAAAAATTGAAATACACAGAAATAATTCTAACACAGTCCAAGATTCATATGTAAAAAATATGTGCTGGCAAAATGGCACTGTGAGTATAGGTGCTTACTGCGAAGCCTGATATCTTGAGTTCAGTCTCCAGAAGCCATGCTGTGGTAGGTGAAACTTGACTTCTACATATTGTCCACATACACACATAATAAATAAATAAATATGAAGAAAAGGTTTCAATGAAAATACAAAACATCGCTGAAAAAAATAGTAAGACCTAAATAACTACAAAGATATCCATCCCATGTTCAATGACTGATATTTTATGTTTAGCTGGCAGCAAATTGACCTACATATTTGGTGATGTAAAGGAAAGTATGTCTATTCAAATAGTACAATCATGAAGAAAGAATAAAGTTTGGGGTATTCACACTTCAAACATGCTACAAAGCTGTAGTAACCAAACATTGTATATTAACATAAATTTGAACGTATACACACCAGAAAATTAGAAATGGAAGTCCAGAAACAGACCAATATATCTATGTCCCCGTGATTTATTGACAAGTATGACAAGTCTATGTGATGGAGAAAGTAGTTTCTAAGGTGACACTGGGATAGCTGTGTACACTTATAAGTACTTGGAAAATTGCTTAGAAAATTTTAACAGTTTTTTTTTTTAAATCTATGTATGTGCTTGGGAAATGAACCCATGTGAAAGAGAGGCACAATAGTGTATATGTGTAATCTCAGCTCTCCCATGATGTGATGGATGACAGAGAGAGACAGATAATCCCTGAGTGTTCACAGGTCAGACACCCTGGTGTATGCACTGGCAAACAACTAGAGACCCTGTGTCAAACAAGGTAGAAAACAGAGACCAACTCTTCAAGTTGTTCTCTGACCTCACGTTCTTGTCTGCACTCATGAACATAGACACACAGAATGTGGGTCAGGACTATGTATGCATTGACATTTGATGAAGTAATTCTACTTGTAGGTATATACTTGAAAGGGCTGAAAACAGGAACCGGGACAATTAACTGATATCATTTAGTGCGTGTTATTCATAATTTAAAAGTTGGAAGCAACCTAAGTGTTGAGTAATGAGGGGGACAAGAAAATGCAATAAATATATACATAATATGCAATGATTAAAAGAAATTAATTTGCAATATATGATACATGAGTGAGCCTTGAAAACATTCTAAATTAATAAGCAAGACCAAAGGATAAATGCTATATTATTACATTTATGTTAATTAAAGCATATAAATTTGTAAAACCAGAAAACACATTAGAAACTACTAAAGTCCTTATGTTGGGGCTATCAGGAGGTTTCTTTTGTTGTGTTTTATTTGATTGGGTTCTGGGGATTGGACCTGACTTCTCTTGCCAGCTAAACATTAGCACTGCTGATGAACTACATCCAGTCAGACATTCATTTTTCAGAGGTTCTGTTCGAGTAGTGTAAAGTCCTTGGCAATAGTGATGAGGGCATACCATAATACTGAGAATATAATTAATGGCATTAGATTTTATACTTACGAATGATTAAAATAGCAAGTTTTATGGTGTATATATTACTGCAATTTAAAAAATGTATTAGATTTTTAAAAACTGTAAGTAAAGCTGGGCAGTGGTAGTGCACTCCTTTATTCCCAATACTCAGAAGGCAGAAGCAGGTGGAGCTCTGTAAGTTTGAGGTCAACCTAGTCTACAGAGCAAGTTCCAGGACAGGCTTCAAAACTACACAGAGAAACCCTGTCTCAGAAAACAAAAAACAAACAAAAAAGCTAAGTAATCTAAGTCTATCTTCTTGACTCGTGATACTTTAAAAAGTCATCTGGGAGAGAAAAGGAGGAATAAAAACATAGATATTAAATTTTGTGGTTAGAAAAGTAAATTCATAAAAGGAAACAAGGTTTTACCAAATTCTTAAGTCAGAATGTCATATGCTGCAGTATCTTTGTCCTTTCATTCATAGAACTGAGAAGTTTCTAACTGCACTCTGAAAAACGGGGGAATTGCATGGATTGGTTGGCATCATAATTTTAGGATGAAACAGCCTGATTTTATTAGAAGGTTGTAGTCATTGATTAAAACTCATTTAATACACTACTGAAAATTCTGTGTTACTGTTTACTCAAACCCTTCAAATCTCCTAAGTTGTTAGTGTGAGAACACTCATTCAGCTTTTCCCCCAACATCTTAATTGAAGAAATTAAAAAACAAAGGGTAAATTATAAAAATATTATAATTAACACTGTGGTTTATTTGTTGGATCTTCTGATAGCTAACATTTTGCCACATTTACTTCGTCTCTATTTTTTATTAATCTATTTTTATGTGTATAGTGTTTTGTCTGCACGTGTGTCTCTGTACTACCTGTGTGCCTGATACCTGCTTGTGCCAGAAGAGGGCACAAAACTGAGGACATGACATAGAAAACAATGGCATTTTAACTGAAAATTAAGTTTCCGTGATAATATCTAATGTCCAAATTAGCATTTTCCCCAGTTGTTGAAGTTCTTTATAAGCACTCACCTGCAGGATCTAGTCCATGTTCATGCTTTCTTTTTGACTCTTATTGGTACCTTTAAATTAGAATAATCTTCCTGTCATCATGTTTCTAAAGAAAATTTTGTTTCTCTGTTTTTTAAGCAGAGTATTATAAGCTAAAAAATGTTTCATTTGGTTTATCAAATCATTCTACTTGGTATTTGGAAATACTCAGATACTATAATTGTTATTATTTCCAAGTAGAAATATAATGTATGTATAGGATAGCTTTGCTAATATTTATTTATCCTATTAGATAAGTTGTTTAAAATGTAAAAAAATAGTATGCTCTTCCTTTAATATATTTGAAAGTATAAAATTAAAAAGTGTTTGCCTTAAACGAAGCTTATTTCACCTATGTTTGTCATTCTAGGGATAGATGCATATTGTCTTTCAGGTTCACTACTGTATTTTATGAAGCATATATAATAGGAAAATGTTTTTTATGTAAACATTTAGATAAACTGTGCTATAAATTATTAACAGTATATACCATGATCATATTTATAGACTAGCAAATTACATATAATCTATGACCACTGTCTGCCTGCTGCCTCTTCTCATGCAGCCTGAAGGGTTAAGAAATTTTGTAGAATATCAGTAGTTTACTATATCATATTGTCAAAATTCATGGAGTTCAAATTTTCATATATATTTAAGAGTTGTGCGTTTATGTTATAATGCAGTATTTACAACAAATTACATGATTCATAAAGCTTAAAATATTATTGTTTGATCTTAGAAACAAAGCCTGCCAACTCCTGCTCTAGAGTAGTAATATATATATGTATTATCATACATATATAATATAATATCATGTATATCTATAGCTTAATATATATAGCTATAGTTTATTATATTGAATAAGGAAAAGTATATTTTTAAGTAAATTATATGTTATTAATCAGATTATACATTTTTCCCTTTAAGATTGAAGACCCACTAGCTATTCTTATTCTCTTTGATGAAGCCAGATACAATTTACTGAAGGGATTTTATACAGCTCCTGATGCTAAACTGATAACACTGGCAAGTCTGCTGTTACAAATAGTTTATGGGAATTATGAGAGTAAGAAACACAAACAAGGTTTCTTAAAGTAAGTATTTGATACAGTGCATGATTTATAATATGCTCAAGATTCTCTTTAGCTAACACAATTTTAATATTACTGCAAAGTATTTATACATTGCTGGCCAGGCATGGTGGCACCTACTCATAACCAGTGAACCTGAGACCGAAGGGTCATGATCAGACCAGCCTGAACTGCATAGTAAGACACTGTCTCAGAACAGACATACTGTTTATACATTGGTTTAGAATTAAATAATACAAAACATTGAATAAAAGAAAAAAACTATAAAACATGAGTTGCTGTTTTGGTTAGTAAAGCAGTTTTGAGTTTTTCTTATGTTTGCTCTATTTGATAAAATTTAGCTTTATAGTTTTGATGTATAATTTTTTACTTTGTGTTTAGATAAGTTGGCTAAAAATTTGACTTAATAAAAAATATAATGAGTCAGATAATTAAGAATCCCACCATAGAAAATAGTTTGAGAGAAACAGATTTTAGCACAGATTTAGTCTAAAGTTTTTATACTACGATCTTTCAGTTTTTGAAAATATTTTCAATAAAAAAATTTTATATTGAAAAAGAAAACATTTCTCTAAATTGATAATATTAAGATTGTGGAGCATTTTTAAAATCATATTCAGCTTAAAATTTCTATTATTTAATGCCATTTGTGACAGAGGATTATTGTACTTTAGCTACTAAAGATGACTTATTTAAAGGATGTTGACATGTATACTTCCAGCGAAGAAAATTTGAAATCTATTGTACCTATTACTAAACTGAAAAGTAAAGCGCCTCACTGGATAAATCGAATACTCCATGAGTACAAGGTAAGCTGCTCCAGAAATGGAAAAAACTGTAGGCCATTTTTATTAGTGTTATAATGTTTATTAGTGTTATAATGTTTATTAGTGTTATAATGTTTATTAGTGTTATAATGTTTAAATAGCAGAATTAAAAGTGAATTTTCTGGTTCACAATGCCTAAAACTGAAACTAAAAAGATGTATTTATTTATAGAAATATAAGATCTTTTATTGAATACTTTATATATGCTGAATTTTGTGGTAAAGACATGAGGTAAAGCTGAAATAATACAGTGTCCTTGCCTGTAAAGTGCTTACCTTCTGTTAGCATAGACAGCACTTGATCTCAGTTTATTTCTTTTTAATATTAAGGCTGCAAGAGAAAAAAATCCACTTGAGATAATATACCATAACTTTATTCTTGTTTGGAGACAACGTTGATTTTAGAAATAACTAGTTAACCTCTTTGCATTATAAAAGATCACATCTCAGCCAGGCCGTGGTGGTGCACTTGGGAGGCAGAGACAGGTGGATCTCTGTGAGTTTGAGGCCAGCCTGGTCTACAGAGTGAGTTCCAGGGCAGGCTCCAAAGCTACAGAGAAACCCTGTCTCAAAAAACTAAAAAAATCACATCTCTTTTTATTCTACTTTGTTTTCAGAATCTTAGCATGAGTGAGGGTGTCAGTAAGGAAATGCATCACTTGCAGCGCATGTTTCTACAGAACTGCTGGGAAATCCCCACGTATGGAGCAGCTTTTTTCACAGGACAGATATTTACAAAGGCAAGCCCAAGCAATCATAAAGTCATCCCTGTGTATGTAGGAGTGAATATAAAAGGACTGCATCTCCTCAACATGGAAACTAAGGTAGGTCTTAGGCTGTTTTTAGTAGTCACATCGTGTATTATCTGAAATAGTGCCATCCTCCGTGAAGAATCTAGAAATGGCATATAGATACACTCTATGCATACACTTTTGCATTTGTAAATCTTTTGTCCATACAGTAGAATAAGTAGTATTTTTGGTGAATGACAAATTTATATGTTACATTTTTATAAAAAGGGTGCTAAACTTTATGTAATGTTCTAATTAATATTTGTGTAAAAATTATAGGAATTGAATATTTTTACATAAATACAAATTGCATGTATATTTCTATATGAGAATTTTGTTTTTGTTTTTTAAAACAGGGTTTCACTATATAGCTCTGGATGTCCTGGAACTAACTATTTAGACCAGGCCTTAAACTCAGAGATTTGTCTGCTTCAGCCAAGTGAGGAGATTAAAAGCATGCACTACTATATCTGGCTCATATATATTTCCTATATATTTCTAAAAAAAAAAAAAAAGTTCATTGATAATTTTGGAGACAGGAGCCAGATATTGCAAACTCAAATCAAGAGAGACTTTTCCTTATGTATCTGTCTTAGTTCTGGCTGCTATTACAAACTACCATAGACTGGAGGCTTATAAACAATAGGCACTTATTTCTGGACACTTCTAAAAGCTCAGAGTCTGAGATTAGGGCACCAGCATGGGCAGATTCTGGTGAGGGTCCTCTTCTAAGTTATAAGCTGCTGCTAACTTATTTTATTCTCATACTAATCCAAGCATAGTGGCACATATCTATAATCCTGCACCTGAGGGTGAAGTAGGAAGGTCATGACTCTGAAGCTAGCCTATCCTAGAATATGATTAAAAGGAGGTGAGGTAGGAGGACTCCAGACTTAAGAAAGGAAAGGCGTTTATAACAATTAAAAGTGAAGATTAGTTTCAGGAAGCTCTTCAGGGAATGAGGTTTAGTGTGGAAGGGACTATGGCTACCATTAGAATAACTGCTTTTTACAGAGTTTTTCATTTGTTTTGTTCTTATTTTTTATTTTAATTATGTCCAAAATTAAACATAATCATATGTCGTGCAGTATGTACTTGTGTGTGCAGTTGCCCACAGAGGCTGCAGGTGTCAGATCATCCTCGAGCTGGTGGTGTAGGCGTTGTGAGCCGCCAGTGTGGGTGCTGGAAATCAAACTCAAGTTTCAGTAAGAAATGTGAGTGTTCTTAGCTGCTGAGCCATCTCTTCAAGCCCAATACAGAAATTCTTGACACTATGTTGTTCCTTATTCTAATCAAAGTGATTAGAATATAAGAGATAAGCTTGACAGTTATTTTTAACATATTCAACACATTTAGGTTGGATGAACATCTTTCTAATTTATGATAGTAAGCTGGTAAAAATTTTTCCCTAATTTATTTAGATTTGTCAAGGCTAGATCATTTTTCAAGGGTTTAGAAATTTCATAACTTTTTATTCTCGTTTTTGTCTCTTATTATGGACTTTCTTCTTTTTTATGTTTTATATTATGTGTATGGGTGTTTTACCTGTGTGTAAGTCTGTGCATCTCATGTGTGCCTGGTGCTCTCAGAGGTCAGAAGAGAGTGCTGGATCCCTGAACAAGAATTACAGTTGTGATATGAGCTGCCTTAGGGATGCTGGGGGATAGAACCTGGGTCCTCTGCAAGTGCAACCAGCACTCATAACTACTGAGACCTCTCTCCAGCACTGGAGTGCTACTGACTGCAGAATTATGCAGTGAGAATTCAGCACATATGTCAGGGTCAACTCATCAGAGATGCCTATCTCATGGAGGCCTATCTCATGCACCTCATTTAGCAAGGCGATGAGGACTGTTGTCACCAGAGATACACATCTCATCAATCTTATCTGTAAGCTGGTAAGAAATACTGCCTTCAGAATGTGTTAAACCGTTCCATTGCAGAATCCTAGTGTTCAGGGCTCTTTGTCTCACATTACAGCTTGGGGATTTTTCCCACAACATTGCAGTGTGTTAATAGTTTACTGAGCATAATTTTTGGCAAGAAAGTAATCACAGTCAATACCCTTATTCTTTCAACCAAGTCTTCGTATAAATTTAGGAGTCTGTCCTCCTACAATTATCTCCTTTGGAAGCCAGTTGGTTAGTGTTAGTGCCCAGGCAAAGAGACCTTCACAGATGCCCAAGGATTACAGCATGTCTAAAGTTATTGAATCATAGCTCAGAGAGACAGAGGACAAGAGTGTCTTGGATTTACTGTGCCAACAGATGGGAGAGCACTGCCCTAAGACTGACTTACATGCTCCTTTTTTTTAAACAGAAAAGGGTGAGATGTCCGGAGTGTTTATCACAAGCTGTTGCAGGGCATGACACAATTACAGCTTACTCTGAAAACTGTTGCTTTTTTCTGAAATTTCACTCTTGCAATAACAACTATGATATCTCCCTGTTATCATGCACTTTCATACAATGTGTACATTTACTCTTGTGATTGTATCTCAATCTTATGGACACACGTATGCGTGAATGGTCAAATAGATGACTTTTCATTTAGCTATATAGTTTTGATTTATAGAATATATACTAGGACATGTTTCATAGCTAGATCTATTGTCCACGAGGGCTACAAACACCTAAAAGCCTACCTTGCTAGCTACACACAATTAGTTCACAAGTTCAACTAGACTAAAGGCTTTTTTCAAAAAGGAAACTTTACAGCTTACACAAGGTCATAGTCACAGATGTCCAACCAAGGTTACTGAGAAAGCATGCCAATTCCTCACTTGCCAGTCTACTAACAATGGATCTGTCATTGGGCACTGTGCACACACACCACCCTGGTCTGGTCAAGGCTTTGCTCCTATGGCCTTGGACCTTTGTGTTGCCATGGTAAGCAGCTCATCTCCTTATCACTTCAAGGCTCCTACACGAGAAGAGTTTTTAGGATCGAAGAAGAAGCTTGGAGAAGTTAGAAGTAGAATAGGATTTAGAATAGAAATAAAAAGTGAACACTTGGAATGAAGAGCATTAGCCTGTCCGTGTGTTATCATAGAACTCCTGAGAAGCATTTCATCTTTGGGACCCAGGGTAAGGCCTGGAGCAGGTCTCATAGCCCTTACTTATCTTCTATAAATTATCATTTATCTGAATTTATAGCCAACCTTATGGACAACAGTATTTTATTATGCTGTTTACCTGTGGGAGGATATAGAGAATAACTACAAGCATAGGGCTGAAAAACAAACATAGATTTTTATACTTGACATGGAATTTGATTTCTTGGAGTTCCTTACAGCTTGCTCTTGGATCATTGCTTATTTCTGTTAAAACTGGTTTACTTATACCAGGTAGGCTACTGCTATGTAGTTTGTGGCTACTTTTCTATTTCTGTGAACTGACTTTGCTTAAAAGAAATGAAAAATGGGCAGAGCAGTGAGTGAAGGCAAGTGGACCCCTGGAGCTCACTGCCGTACAGTCTAACCAAGCTTCCAGGTTCAGTGAGCAGACCTATTTTGAAAGATAATGTGGAAAGAGACTGAGAAAGCCATTCAGCATTGACTTCTGGGCTTCATGTGCTTGCACAAGTACACACACCAGAGGACTGTGTGGACCTGGCTCTTCGTATTTTGGGGGCCTTCAGAATTCTTTCCTCACTGGATATTGTCCTATATATACATGGTATATATAGGCTCATGAGAACATCATATCATACTTCATAAGTCCAAGTACTACATATCAACAAAGTAAACATTTAGACATAATAAAAAATCAAATGGCTACTTAAATATAGCATTTCGTAGGAAAGCATGACAGTAGCTTACCCTAACATTGTTTCTTAAATAGTTCTATTAAATTTATGAAAATTATATTTCTACTGTTTTTTTATTTCTACAATAAATATTAACACATCAGTGTACTTACTTTCAGTGGAATAAAATTGCTGAAGTCATCTGTTAATCCCACTATATAAATTTCAGATTTAAAAGTACTGTATGTATATATTCATTAAAGGTTTAGAACACATTAAAGAAGTTACTATTAACCTGCATGAAGTAAAAGCTTATCCTTCTGTGTTCAAACTCACTGAGAATGAGCATCTGTTAAAATGTTTGTTAGTCTGATACAAATATTGTCATTGTTCATTGTGTCCCAGGAGTCTGCCTTCTGGGTTCTGTGCTTCACTCTGTGTGAGGTTAGTGCGGGTGCTATAAAGAGACCTTAAAAAGAATGTTCAAAACAATTACATTTAATAACTAGATAATTACATATCCTAAGTGAAGATACATGTTGCATTTATTGTTTAGGGTGTTTGCAGGCATTTTGAGATAGGGTTTCGTGTGACTGGTCTCCAGCTGACTGCTAGCCAAGGATAGCCCTGAATTTCTGATCTTCATCTTCCACCTTCCGAGTACTGGGATTTATAGGTGTGTGCCACCATTACTGATCAATGTTACTTTTAGCTCTATTTTAGCATAATAATTTCTAATTCTGTTGCAGGCTTTACTCATCAGTCTTAAGTATTGTTGCTTTACATGGCAACTGGGAGATGCTGGGACTTGTTTTCAAATCCATAGTATGGAGAATAAGATGAGCTTTATAGTGCACACAAAACAGGCAAGTACTGATAAATTAGTTTGGACTTACGATGATAGACTACAGTTTTACTAAAAGTCTTTTTTTTAATTGTTAATTCATTTACCTTCCCTGGAAACCTTTAGTATTAGATGAAATTTAATATTTAAGATCAAGAAAAAATAAAATTCCTTTCCTAACTAAAGGAGCCAAAAACTTGGCAGATTAATTTATCTCTGTTTTAGAGCAGTTAAATGCTTCCTTATGCCATTTGTTTTTCTTCATTCTGATTACTTGTTCCCTCTGTTTTTAAAGTTCTTCCCTTTTCTTGACCAGTATACTATCTGAACCAGTCAATGTTTTGTGAGGCATTTCTTAACTACCTTCAGAATCCTAAGTAAATTTATCTTCTATACCCTATTTCTTTTTTAAATATGTTGTTAGTCGAAGTAGGATTACATCACTTTTCCTCCTCCCTTTTCTCCTTCCAGCCTCTCCTAGATACTCTCCCTCCAACAGCTCCCACTCCCCCACTACCTCTCAAGTCGAGAGCTTCTTTTTCTTTTATTATTACTGCTGCATGTATGTGTGCACACACATGCACATGTGTACACAAATATATAAATACAACCTGCCAGAGCCATTTTTATTTTTGTGTGTTTATGGTTTCTGGCCTAACCACTCTGCATTAAACACCCAAAGAGGGGCTCATTTCTGGGAGAGTCTTAATTCTTCTTTCAGTAATCATTACTTGACTGTAGTTCTTGTCTAGGGGTGAGAGAGACCCTTTACAATTTTTCCTCCCATAGTAACATGTTCATTGATATTGCCATTGTCCAGGTCTTACTTACACAGCTGTTTCTAGGAGAGACTGTTTGACAGTAGATTTTAGGAGTCTGATGTTCTGACTCTTACAGTCTTTGCACCCTCTCTTCTCCAATGTTCTCTGATCCATAGATGTAGGAGCTGGGGTGTACATGTGTTTGTTGATACTAGATTTCCCATATTCCATTGATCTCTGCGTTGTATCAGTTATGGTTTTCTATGATGGTCTATATTTCCATCTATGAGAAAGGCTTCTTTTTCTTCTTTTTAAGACAGAGTTTTTCTTTGTAGTCTAGGAGATCCTGGAATTCACACTGTAGACAGACCATGCTGGCCTCAAACTCAGAGACTCACTGGGATTAAAGGTGTGCACCAGTACCTCCCGGCTAAGGAGAGAGGTGGTAGTTATACTTTTGTGTGGGTATAAGGAGAGGTTTAGAATGTAGTGAGGAATCATGCTGCTCTAACGAAGTGGTGATAGACTCAGTTCTAAGGACCATGATGTCACTAGCCAAGGGTACTATCTAGGTTTCTAGTACCAGGCCTGATTTCCCTCTTGAGCCTTAAGTCTGACTAGACAGTTGTTGATTACCACTGACATGTAAATGCCACTTAACTGTTACTTTATGTATATCTCGCCATGCTGGTCATTGCTGTGGCTCCTAGGTGTTGCAGCTGGGTAGGACTGCTTAATCAGTTCCAGTTCTTTCCCTTGGCAGCTTGCATCGTGTTTTCTGGAATTATGAAAGCTAAGCCACAGCACAAGGGCTTTCAGGTCAGATCCAGTTCAAATTATCCAAGTCCTTTGTCCTAACTGTGTAGTGTCTTCATCAGGAGGGGACCTCCTTGAGCCTCAACCCAGAGAGATAACCAGGAGCTACATTAGTAGTACAATAACTACATCATGGTTTGGGGAGCCATGTGGACTCCCTGACCAACCATTTGAAGGAGATTTCTCATTACTAATGTGTATATATACACATGCACGTGTGTTGTGTATAACTTTAGATACATATAAAATAATACCTTGAGGCTTTATCATACAACCACGGTGTTGTCTCTTGCCCTCTGCTTCTGTGTTGTCCTCCCTCCTTCCTTCTTTATCTCTTCTGGTTAGTTTTATCTTTCTGGAAGTTTATTTTGTTGGATATTAGAATAGCAGTGCCAGCTTGCTTCTTGATCCCATTTGCTTGAAATACTTTTTCTATCCTTTTACTTTAAGGTAGTCTCTATCTTTAATGCTAAATGAGTTCTAGACAGCACATAGATAACTTTTGTTTCTTTATCCATTCAACTTCTCTGTGTCTTTTGATTGGTAAGTTTAAGCCATTAATATTTAAAATTATTATTGAAAGGTATACATAGATTGCAGTCATTTTGATTTTTTTTTTTTTGCTGGTTTGTGTTCTTGCAGATTTTTTTCTTCTTTTTTTTCTTTGTAGGGTAGCTTGACTGTATTCCTCTCTTTAGCTCAAAGCTGCTTTGCTTAGAATATTCTGTTTTGTGTTTTGTTGTTGGATGTGAATTTTTTTAGGCCGTTTGGATCATAGAAAGTTGTTCCTTCTCTAACTATGGCAGTTACTGGTTACAGTAGTTTAATTTTGCAGTTGTAGTCTTTTGGAACTAGGATTGCTTGGTTTTAGGTCCTTCTGACTTTCGTAGTTTCCATTGAGAAATCAGGTGTTATTCCAGGTTTCCTGTATTTGTAACTTGGAGGGTTTTGTTTTTCTCTTGCAGCTTTCAATATATTTTCTTTTTTTGTGGATTCTTGGTGTTTTACCTGTGATATGCCTTTTCTGGTCTTGTCTCTGTGTTTCTTTTATCTCTACAAGTGTGTCTTTAGTTTGGGCAAGTTTTCTTTTATCATCTTTTTTTTTTTTAATTTATTTATTTATTTATTAAACATTTCTGTCTCTTCCCCACCGCTGCCTCCCCTTTCCCCCCCCCCCCCCCC